ATTTCAATTTGTCCCATTACTGGTGGTGTTCACTTTGATCATTTGACGAAAGTGGTGTCTGCCAGGCTAATGTACTGTAAAGTTACTCATCTTCCCCTTGAAATTTCTACCTTTCTAGTCTTATCTTCCATCACTCTTCCTTCCACTCTAGGTCTGTACTGTCCAGCCGGTAGCCACCTCTGACCACTGAGAACTTGAAATGTGGCTCAAAGGTTTTCATCTGAAATCGCTTTTATCTTAAATAAATTATATGCTCCTTCCTTAGAATATGTATCTACTGTAACCTAGAATTTCCCTTTCAGGCTTGTATGAAGGCATGTTTTGGAGGTAAAACTTTAATTTGTCAAAATAAACCATGTTTATTTCTACGATACTCTACAACTTAATTTTATTCTTTGTCAAACATAAGTCTGTTTTTCATGTAATCTATTCAATTCTTATTGATATACTAATTTTCTTATTGGTTTCAGTAAGAATTTTCTTTATTTCCCCATGTTTTAAAATTACCATGATACTATTTAGAAATCAGCTTTTATAGATTAAAGGAAACACCTCATTCAGAAATGTAAACTTAATTTGCTTTTACTACCACAGCAAATGTTTTCTTTTGTTCAAGATTCACAAATATGTTAATATTAAACTGCTTTATGTAAGAAATACAAATGAAATAAGCATAAAAAGTAATTACAGCTCTCCCAGCTCTAAATAAAATTGACAAGCACCTTCAGATTAAAAATTAATGGAAAAACTGCTATTTTCAGAATAAACCAAATTTATCTTTAAACTGACACAAATGATCAAGCCAACAAAATGCTGAAAAGACTAATTCTGTCTTAAAGCTAGCACTGAAGAGTACCAACCTGCTCCGTTCTTTTCATTCTTGGCTACAGCACTTGTTCGCTTTGGTGTACGCTTTTGCTTTTTTGCCAATAATCCGCTATTTCCATCACTTGGCCTTTTCTGACCTGAAACAAGGGGACAAAGAGAACTTGAGAAAAATCAAGAGCAAGTATATTTATTCTCCTGTGTACTCTACATAATTTTATATATATATATATATATATATATTTTTTTTTTTTTTTTTTAAAGAGAAAGGAAGGGAGGGAGGAAGGATGGAAAAGTGCTTTACAGATCAGCAGTCCCTACAACTGTTAACTTAGTACTTTTTGGTTTTAACATAAAGGCTGCTTTTCTTCCTAGGAAGTCCTCACCCTTCTCTCTGCTCTCTCTCTCTTGGACAGTTACATTACAGGCACCAGAGGCAACGCTGGCTTCACACCCATTTGCTGCTTCCCTCTCACAGAGACCTTCTTGAGACTCCTCAGCAATACTGTCAACTTCAATGGTTATGTCACTCTCACTTTTTATACTTCGAGACTCGTCCTGGCTGAGAGTCAGTGGTGAAGCGACTGAAAAGTTATGCTGGACCACAGGAGGTACGGCAGGCGGAACGGAAACCAGAGAGTTAGACTCTGAACTTTCCACTACCACATCCTCAACACTGGTCTTCTCCTTTTCATCCAAATCGTCCAAGTCGACTTCATGGCAAACCAAGGTTTCAGGACCAATGAGAGGCATTGCATCCTCTTCTTCTTTGAGTGGAGTATTGACAGTTTCTTCAGCTGGACTATCACATTTTTCGCTGTTCAGTTCCTGAATGCACTGGTTGGACTCTGCTATTAACGATGGCATTCCTTCATTTTCTATTTCGAAGTGGTGTTCAAAGTTTAAGTTTTTCATTCCCTCAGATGCAACAAAATCACTGGTCCTTTCTTGAGATATGCTATTTGTCATTTCCATTCCATTATCAATTCTTATTTTTTTCTCTGGTGATGACTGTCCCAGTATTTTCCGTTTCAACTTTTTTTCTTTTGCACATTGGTCAATTTCATCTTCAGGAGCAGAAGAAAAGTTTTTACTGTCTAATGAAGAAAATTCTAGCCTCTGTGCTTCTATATGAGGTTCACTTCCTGCTTCATCCTGGCTAAATGACGAAATCTTTATAATTTCTAAAGAAAGATCTTTTGTCTTGCTTCGTCTTCCCTTTCCTTTAGGTGATTTTTCTGCCTCTTTCTTAACTTCTTCTACTTGTTCCACTTTATTTCCAAAAAGTTGTACTATTTGTTCATTCTCTTCAACTTCTACTTTCAAGGTTTCTAAAGGCTGTATTTGAGTCCTATCATTTTCTTTTAATATATGTGCAACAATCTTTGGACTTTCTTCATCCAGTTTATCATTATTTAAATTTTCATTTTTTTCTAGTTCTTCTTTAATATCAGGAGAAAGTTCTTCATTCATCAAATTCTTTTCTAAAAGGTCTTCTGTTTCACTATCAGATGAACAAGAGTCTGCAAGAGGAAATATTATTATATTACAAAGGTTTCTATCTTAATTACCAATGTAATTTTACAATAAAAATTCTACCAAAGAGAAACAAAACTCTTAATCATGTACCTCTGAATACCTCCCTGTAGAAATTTCTGATATAAAATAAATCATACACTTGTGCCAAAAACGGGGGGCCTGGGGGGGAGGGCAAGATTTCAAATTAAACTCCATATAAAAATACATAACATAGAAAATATTACTATCTCAATTCTGTAAAGAGCTACTTTGCAGTTTCCACCAGTGTCATATGTAGGTTACAACAACCCTTAGAAAAGTCAAAGGGCTAGTGCTGAGATATAATGTTAACGTAGTAAGTGGTTTCATCTGAGATCTAGTAGGTACTTGCTTAATAAATGTGATGGGCATTGTGTCCTTAGAAAGGAATATGACATTCTACTTAAAATAATTCTGGAAAAAAGAGATGTACAAAATGAGCAATTTGAATTCTCACAGTTTACATATTCCTCTGATTAAGAGAAATGAAGGTATAGGCAAGGTACCTTCTTGCAAAAGAAATCATTCTCTGTAAGTCAGAACATTTTTAAAATAATAAAGTAGGGTTCTAAGGCTGTATTGTATAGGAGCTGTAAAATATAAAAATCTGTCCACATGGTGCTCATATTCTAA